CTGAAGACATCAATTAATTATCTTTCAAAAGCAGATTGGTTCTGATGTGAAATCCCATCAAGCCAGCAAGCTGGGGCTTATAAACAGCCCCATGAGAAGCCCTTCCTGCAAGARTGACTCAAAAACTTGCATCGACACATCTGTCTGTGTTATAGGCAGAGGTGAAAACACCACTATAATTACAGTTGACTATTGTATATAACCCTGGTTTTGGTTGCCTATAATTTCTTCTATAATTAATTGTTTGGGCCAAAAATGTCTCCAGCTGGGGTTAGCCTCAGGCTAAACAGGTTCGTCTCAGCTGAAATGGCTCAAGTCTTTCCCAAGAATATGTTTACAGAAAAAGAATTTCTCTTGTCCCTGTTAAAAGGATCCTTCTCGTCATTYATCAAAATATTCTCACATTTCCATACTTTTTAAGACAGTAGCTTGAAATATTAGCTGCTCCCTGCCTCTGTCAGATAAAGAGCTTTCACATTCCTGTGAAAGTCAGGGRGAGTCAAAAAAATAATGGAATGTGGCAATTTCATTCCTGAGACCTTTTTGTTATAGGCATCTGCTGGTGACAAAAATGCAACAGAGACCCAGCAGGCAAAGCCACGTTGTCCAGCCATCCCAGGAGCTGAGCAAGCTGAGCCCTGCAGTGCCAGGCACGCTGTTGGGACAACACACAGAGCACCCTTAGGTGTCCCAGGCTGTGGGGTTTGGGACRGCTCTTGCTGTAAATGCTCCTTCCAGGTGCTGGGCACCTGTGCTACCCATCCAGAAGAGGACTAGGAAATGACTGAAGCTGAGCTCTCTGCGCATATCTCCCTTAAATAAAACAGGAAAGTTGGACAAACTTTCATGGAAGKAGGGCAAGGCATGGAGCGGGCTGAGGCTGCGAGATGGTAATAGCAATGCTCTTGCAGAGAGAATATAAAGAGAAAGGAAAGTCTCTTCATTAAGGCACATGGATCCTGCACTCAACTCTATCCATCCCTTCCTGTCATTCCTCTGTGATGTATGGGCCACTTAGCCAAGACTTTTACTAATGCACAATTCCCTTCTTCTGAGCATCTCCCTTCGTACGCAAGAGTYGCATATGAGCAGCTGCTAAGCACTGAAGTCACCAGCAACTGAGCTTCGAGCTGCAGCATCCAGCATCGTGCTCCGGACTCCGGGAAGGTCTGTTGCTCCCTGCAGACACCAAGGGCTTCGCTCTCCTTCGGCCTCTCTGCCCTGGGGAAAGTGAGATGCACCAGCCCAGGGCGAACTGGGGAAGTAGTCACAGAAAAAACCTCCAGAGCAAGGTCTGAATTGCAGGTAATGAGATTAATCCTGGGTGTGTACAGAGAAATGACAAGACAAAAGACTCAAGAGCCATTCAGAAAACAGTCGCTCTCTATTTCCATTCCTGAACAGGGCCAAGGGGGAGAAAATGAGTGTACAGTTGCATACGAAAACAAGCTTAGCAAAACACAGAGGATCTGAAAGGATGAGCAACCTTCATTGAAAGTTTGCTCTTTTTGGAATATTTGACATGGCATCATGACAGATGAAATATTTGTAGTCAGACATGAAACATGCATGTCACCACAGAGGAGAACAAATGCCAGAAATGGGGCATGGAAATCCCGACACATTTTTGAGAAAGGCCACAGGCTACTTTGTCAAAATAAAACTCCGTCCAATAGAGTCCAGAGTAGTAGTTAAGAAACAAGAAAGCTCAGCACTTYGACTGCCTAAGAACTGATTTGAAAAGCAAAATGGGCCCACTGTAATGCAGAAATTAAAACACTTTGAAGCAGTTCTTACTACTCTGTGAACATGAGTCAGTGCGAGTGAAAATGGTGCACAGATGGGCCAGCACAGAAGCAACAGAAGTGCCGTGATATTTACAAGGGGGGRAAAAAAAATCTTCCCTTACAAGTGTAAATATACCAGAGAAATCATCCGCTCGCAGTACAAACCAGGGCTTTGATGTAGCAAACACTCCCACCAGGGACGGCGCTGGCTCCTAAGGGAGTTGGAGGCATGGCAGACGTCGCATCTGGAAAGCAGGAGGCTCCTGAGTTTTCCTTAAGATCCGCAGCACAAAGCCATGCCCGATGAGAGGAACCGCTTTGAGGTCCTTCTGCAACCCGGAGCAAGGGATCGAGCACTGTCCCCAGCTGCAATGGAGGGCTAAGAGGAGATGAGCTGCAGTCACTCGCTGCAACAGCAAGGCCAGGGCCCAGCAGCCAGGGCTCAACACGCACGAGCCGTACATCCCAGCATCAGGGGGACAGCACAGACCACATCTCCTTGTGCCACCGGCAACGCCACAGCATGAGGACACACGAATGAAAGCCCAGGCCATTCTGTGTGTCGTCAAACAGGGGCTCCCTGGAGTCCACCACTCTCTCAGGGCAGCGATCGCACGTGGGGCTTTTCTGCTCCACTCGCAAATCTGTTTGTGTCGCTGCCACGAGGCCAAGTTCTCCGAGAAATCACGTTTTTTCCTCTCACCTGTCAAAGCAGCAGTAACAATATTTACACTTCTGCAGTTGGCTCTGGAGCAGGGAGTGAAAACCTAATTATCACAGTGCTCGTCCTCAAGGGACRCCTCAGGGCCTGGCCACCGCAGAAACACCAACCGAACCCAAACAAGAGGCCAAGTCTCCACAGTGGAGTTGCAGGAGATAGCAACAGACTTCACGCAAGCAACGAAAGGGCCCGACAGTTTTGAACATGGAAGAAACAGTTTCCGAGACACCAAGGAACCTGCCAACGCTGGATTCTCTGAGAATTTCATAACTGATTTCCAAGGGGGCACCCAAACACTTTCCTATTGCAATGCAGCAGTGCTGCACACRCATCGGGTCTGCACAAAGACCATTTTTGAAACAATAAAGTCAACTTCCAGAACCTCTCACCTCCCTGGGTCCTTCTGACAACTTCTGTGGGTTCACACCACGTTGTCTCACTCTCTACCACATCTATTTTTTTTTCTTCCCCCTGGTGTTGTGTGAAAGACTGGAGCCCAGCAGGAGAAATTAATTAACTGAGCAGACAGCAATTCTGCCATCAAATGAACAAAATGAAAGAGTAACAGACACTTACACTTACAGTCACCCCTAAGTGTTTCGCATGACAACAGTAGGGAAAACATTGTCCAGACTGTTGTTTTAATGTTGATAATATTCCAAAATCTGCAGCGCTAACCAATTTCTCAGTGGAAATGCAACCTTTGACATCAATGGGAGCTCTGTCTGGGCATGGGATTCTGCTCTTATGTTACTGCCTAGCAATATGCAGCTATTTTGAAAATAACCTCTTGAGTGCAAAGATCAGGGCTCCCCAGGCCTCCCGTTGCACCTGATGATGCACAGGAGCATGGAGAGCAAAGCCCAGGTGAGCACACAGGGGCTTGATGTTGATGCTGGGCTGCCCTGGGGGCTCTTCTGTCTTCACTGGCTCAGAGTCCAGGCTCCTCAGGGCAGCCAAAATCTTGCCCAAGGCACCAGGCAGCTCCACTGAGCAGTGTTTGCCCTTCCCATACACACACCCGTGCTATTAACACCCACACACTGCTCTGCTGTGGCCACAGACTCAATGCAACAAGTCTGTTGAAGTCCCTTAAAAAAAAAATACAATTCACCACAAGATGCCAAAAAACACGGGGAAGGGAGGGATAAAGGCATCACCATCACAGCCACAGTAGCGGGGAAAGGAAAAGAGTTAAAATTAAGACAGGAAAAAATTCAAAGCGTTACGAGCGTAAAACAGAATCACTTCAAGCACATGTCAAAATAGTGTCAGATCTTTCTCTGTTCATTAAGTGAGCACTTAAACACCCACCAGCTCCTTGTTTCCCCAGCCCTGGAGCTTTGCTGTGCCTGGAGACCAACCCTACGCTGTCAGCGGTAGGAAGAACAACGGGGTTTTGAGGTAAATGAGGCGCCTTGGGTGAACCCCGGAGCACTGATGGGTGTCATCACTAGTGCCACCAGTAGGGGTCACGTCACATATGTCACATTGCCGGACAAGAGCCAGCACCACAAAAATGGCCTCAATTTTAGAGATTTCCCTGTAAGTTCCATACTATAGCACTTAATACATGGTCCCAGAGTTTGATTAGGGAAATGACTCCCATAGAACCAAGTTAAAAACATCAAATCCATACCTAAAAAATGGAATACGTATTAAGCATAGTGAGCTGGAACAGTCCCAACTGGGGAGCAGCTACACGCTGCACTAAAAGAATTTGCCCATCTCCAATATTTATTTTCTTAACTCTCTCACCTTTATAGGAGAGTCAGTGAGAAAGTACCGGGCACGTGATCACTTCTCTATAGGGTTTTGAGCTTGTTACAGAATTTAATTTAAAATCACTGCCTGGTTACAAGATTTTATAGCAGGTTTTTTAAAAAGTGATTTAAGAAGAGTCCCAAACTCTCTTGGAAACACTAGTCTTCCTTTTTCTTACATAGTTTCTATTACATTCCACAAAGCTTTGCCATAGCATATAGAATAATTAGTAAAAAAGCAAAACCTTATTTAGAGAGGAGGGATAACATTGTACAAGAGTTCATATTAGATTGAGACCACATTAATTTCCTAGGATTGTATTTAGATAAAGAGAGTCTGGGTTTTTGGTRGTTTTGGCCTCAAAATTCCTCCCAGGGGACATGTACAATTTAGCAGGGTTAAAAGTCTCCTTTAGATTCAGGAGCCAAGAAGATACAGTCATCTCTGCTTGCTAAGGGCCAGCGGCCAGATTTTGGCCACAAAACCTCTTTCCTCCCAAGCGGTGTCAAGCCAGAGTCATCCCTGCTCTGGCAGTGCCCACGCGGCTAACGCAGCCACATCCATCACTCGCGTGGCACAAAGCGAGCGCCCATCCTGGGGGCCTGATACTGCCCGTGCCTCCAATTTCCACACTTCTCGCCCCAAATAAGGCCTCCCTATGCACRGTTTTATTGCTGCTGCACACGCTCATTGACAGGAGCAAGGATTTGGGTGAGAGCAAGTTTATTTGTTTGAGGGTTTGTTTTTACTTTTTCCTCCCCCCTTAAAAATAATTCTCCCTGTTACCAGGAACATTCCTCCGCCGTCCTCAGGCRGCCAAAAAACACATTAGGTCTTTTTGAAAAGCTAAGCTGTGCGCAGTGAAGTTATTAACTGCTGGGAGAGGCAGAAAGTTCTTTTACAGCTGCTCATTGATGCCGTGAAAGTCACCTCACACTTGCAGCCCCTCCGGATCCTGCAGGCTCCGCGAGCAGTCTGGGAAAACGCGGAAAGCCCGGCCAAAGCAGTTACACTGCTGCTTCAGACATGTTTTCTTTGGGCTCAGACCTCTGCCTCTCAGCCAGCAATCTCTGTCCCTAGTGGAAAATTAAAAAAAAAAAAAAAAAAAAAAAAACACCGGGTTTTTCTGCTTTTCAGGAATCTCAAGAACAAACGTGGGTTTCTAGCGCGTTTGCGAGAGACGGGAATTCACCCGGACGCCCTGGTGCCCTCCCACGTGGGATCGCGGTTATTTTAAGGAAATCAGGTGCTGACCGTGCGGCTGGCCGGGGCGCAGGGAGCCTGGAGCCTCGTGTGCCCTGTTCCCGGCGCCGGGGCTGCCCGGCCGAGGCACCCGCGTCTGGCGCGGCTCCACACAGACACCTTGGCCCGTGTCGGCTGCTCCACTCTCCAACAGGTGCCGGGAGGACCTGTTTGAAGCAATTGGCTAATGTCCCAGAGCAGACAAGGCCAGAATTAATTTTCTCCACTTAATTTACGATGCCAGGTTTTTATTCTAAAGCGGCACACTGAAGGGTGGGCACCAGCAGGTGCACTTAATCAGTGCATAAACCACAGCCCGTCAAGCCCGTCCCTGCTCCCTCTAGCATGTGCGGGGCCATTCCTCACACCAAAGGTGCTGCTGCCGCCGTTTCATCTCTCTTCCCTCGCGAAACGGCGCAGACAGCTGATGAAGAGCCCGGCACTCACCTTGACCCAGACTCGAAGCTTCATCAGACTTTCTCAGCAGGAACAGCCAGGCTTGAAATGAGAGGGAATGCTTGGCAGGTGCTCCCAGGAGACTGGCCAAAAATAAATGCACTCTCCAGTTAATTTCCACCCTCGTACTACGAGCGGTGCTGCAGTAAGAGCACAGCTAAAGCAGTTGATTTATGCAAGGTGAGGAGGTTCTTTATTTGTTTGCAGAAGCAGCACCAGGCTGAGCATGCAACGGGGAATAGTCATACTAATTTTAAGCACCTGCTTAACGTGCTCATGCTCCCTGTACAGACAAGGGGCCTTTTCGGGTGCGATTCAGAGCGCTGTAATTAGGAACCCACCTCTCGCCATTGATTATAGCAGGAGTCTAGACATGTAATTTAGGAGAGAAATTACACACTTAAAATTAAATGATGCAAATATGTCCCAATCCATCAGTGATGGAGTGGACACAACGGAGGCAGCAAGTGGTGTCTGGAAGCGGTGTCGTGGGGCAAATGTCAGGAAGCCGCATGAGCCCCTTTTCCCCACAGCAACTTACCCTGCTTGGAGCTGAGATGGGAAGATGGGCAGCACCTGCAAGCCCTGCAACCACAGGGTTCCTGGGCAGCACCCAGCAAGGGCTATTTGTAGCCTTGCCCTCCCATAGCACTGCTTTTTTTTTCTGGTTTGTGKTTTTTTTTTTTAAAGGAACCACTTGACTCATAACTCCAAGAACTGAAGGTGTTTTTTTTAAATACAAAGTATTTAGAAAATCTGGCCAGAAGCACTCCAGCTTTATAAGGGAATTAACAAAACCCTCAAATTAGCAAATTTTATTAAAAAAAAAAAAGTGCTTGTAAATAGGACTGTAAAACAACAGTATCTCAGGCTGGAGATGGACACAAATGGAATGTGATTTGGTCTCCGAAAGCACTCATTTCAAATTGTGTACAGTATTTTCCTTTTCTATTAGAGATAACTGTGCARCAAGGCTATGCATGGCTACATGACGGCTCATTCTGCTTTTAAAACAGCAGCACTTCAGTAGCAGGTAAATTGATGCTTTTTATGTATCCRTCACTTATCAAGGATAATTGATTAGCGCCTGCAAGGAACTCAGAGATCTAACGGATTAAATGTTCTGCGACTGCTAAATTATTTGAATAGATTTAGGAAGAGAAAGATTCTAAATCAGATTTTTGTTTGACCCAACATTATCTTCCTTGATCAGTGTTTCTCCTTCCCTTTAAACACTTCTACTCTCAGAAATACAAGCGCACGCTAAGCACAAGGAGCAGCTCTTCAAAGGCAGCAAGGAGAGTTAAGCATAATTCCTATTAAAACACAATGGGAAGCAAGCGTAATTTTTATGGAAAGTTTCTCTCCAACTGCTGTTCATTCCACAGTTTAGCAGCTTTCATCTATTGCAGCTCCCTCTGGGAAGCAGAAAGGGCTCCAGCGGCTTGCAAAAGCTCACCTCGCTCTGATATAACAGCACTTTTGCCCTCCTGCTCCCGCAACAAGTGCCCAGAAAGCTCCTGAAACGCAGGTAGCCGGTGGGGAGGTTGTGGGGAGCCAGCCTGGGAGAGCGCACAGTGTTCCCGACCGCTTGTGCTCCAGYGGGACGCCGAGCTGGAGCTTACCAGCACATGAACAGGGCGCGCGGCAAGGCCAGGGATGCGCAGACCAGCGGAGCAGCCTCCTCTCCGTGTTGGCCGTGCGGTAACGCGGGCGCCCCGGCCATGGGCAGAGCGGCAGCAGCAGGACATGGTCGGCGAGCTGGCCCTGGTGGTGGCCCTGATGCCACAGGCTGGTCCCACAGTCCTGTAGCCTCCTGTGCAGCTATCACRGGAGGCCGCTGCAGCGGCCTCCCACGCTTCGGCAGAGCACAGTGGCTCCTTCTCCACGGCCRCGTCGTCCTGCTGAGGGGACTGCTCACTGCGGGGGTGTCCGCAGCAAGCGCAGGGCACGCGGGGAGGCTGYGCACGTCCTGCAGCTGCTGCCCCGCTGGGCCAGTGCCAGGGCCGGCCGCAGTGCTGCTGGCCTCCACGGCCCGGGGCTTCAGGAGGGCCTCCCACACACGGGCTGCATCCTGCTGCCCCTTCCTCTGGCGAAACTACCAATAAATACCAGCGAGGAAGGCTCTCGGGTATTATTATCTCAACGCAGAGAGCGAGCAGAGGGCCCAGGGCCTGGCACGCGGGCGCGAGAAGGGCCAGCTCGCTCCGTGTGCAGCAGCAAACGCCATCGGCRTCTGCTTGAAGCGCAGCGGCCAAGAGCGCAGGGCCCAACGCTTCCTGGTGGCGGTGGGCAACACGGCAGGGTGGCAGAGCCGCAGGGCAGCGTGGCAGAGCGCAGCACGGCAGAGCAGAGCTGCAGCAGCGCCGTGCAGAGGCTGCACAGCAGCAGGCCTGCTCCCCGAGGAGGCAGCAGCGCTGCGGYAGCTCCTGGGGCAGCTGCTTGGCTGCCATCGCAGCAGGTTTCCACTCCAACGATGCCGTGACCTGGCGCCTCTGGGCACCGCTCCTCTGGACTAGAGACCTCCAGGGGTCGCTTCCAGCCCAGGTTTCTATGGCGCTCTCAGCTCTGCACCCAAACCGGGGCGCCGAGGAGTTAAATTACAGCAGAGCCCCGCTGTCCCCTCTGCCCCACCGCAAAGCCCCTTCCCGGGCCGCTTTTTGGGCGCCTCGGGGACCCCCCCAGAGTGTCCCCGTGCGTGCGCCGGGCCGGCCTCGCGGGCAAGCCCCGCGCCGGCGGGGAAGGCCGCGGGGCCGGGTCCTCCCGCTCGGGCTGGTAGCGGCCGCTGGCTCTGGCCCAGTCCTGGCAGGAGGACGCGGGTGCAGCGGGAGGACGCGGGTGCAGCGGGAGGACGTGGGTGCAGCGGGAGGACGGGGCGGGAGGGCGGCGGCGCCCGCGGCAGACGCGCAGCCCCGCCGCGACATGGCCGCCCGCCGCCTCCTGGGGCTCCTCGCCGCCGCCGCGCTGCTGGCCGCAGGTGAGGCGGCGCCGGGGGGGACAGCGAGGGGACCCGGGCGCCCCGATCGCGATGGGGACAGTCCCCGTGGTGGGGAAGGAGCGAGCGCGGCGGCCCCCGCCGCCCCCTGGCCCCGGCGCGGTCCCCGGGGGCCTCCGCGGGAGGGGATCGGGGGGGACGCGCCCCCCGAGGGGCTCCCGGAGGGACATGGGGAGTTGCAGCCGCCGGGGAGCCGCGGCAGGAGGGACAGGGAGTGCCCGCCGTCCCCAGGGGCCTTCCCCGGAGCAGCCCGAGGCGGCTCCCGGGGGAGATGCGGCGCCGCAGGGTCACCTCGCGGGGCCGCCTGGCAGCGCCCGGCCGGCCACGAGCTCTCCCTGCCAGCCCGGCCCTGCCCGGCCGTGGGGAGCCGGCCCCGGGACCCCGGCACCGCCTGTTCCCCCTGCTGTCACCGCGAGCGCGCGGGGACAGCCCCGAGCGGGGCATTAGGTGGCAGCCGGTGACAGCCGAGCCCCGCGCACTGCGGCAGGGCCCGCCCGGCGGCCACCGGCCCCGCGGGGCCCGGCGCGGCGCCGGCTGCGGCACCGGCAGCCGGGCGGACACCGGGAGGCCGCCCCGGGCGCCCCGCGTCCGGGCCGGGTGGCCTAGGGCCTTGCCTCGGTGTGGCCCCCAAATCCCAGTTCCATTTGTGCCGCCGTTATTCTTGCTGCTATCTCTGCTGCGGATCAGCGTGGCCTAACCCAGAAATCTGCCTCTGCTGCACAGTCACTGATAGCATAGGAAAACACAAGCTTTCTGCCTCCTTTTTTTTTCTCTTTTGGATATAAAATCAATGCAAAGTTTATAAAAACTCTTGCATGTTTCCTTTTTTTTTTTTTTTTAAGAGAAAAAAGAAGGTTCTTTCAAAGGCTACACAAAGTAGATGACAATAATTTAAAGGCCATGGAAAAAAAAAAAAACAATAAACAAATCTGTGTTACTAGGTAGGAGGCACCCCTCAAACCCAGACCTGGATGAGAATTTGAGCATCAACCTGCAGCCTAAATTGGACTAAAAGAAGATTTTGTGGTTGGAGATGAGACTTACCATGAGGCGGCCTGGAATTATTCTCCATTTGCAGCAGGCATTTACCTGCTTGTGCAGCAGAAGGAATCATGATATAATACAGAGTTGCTTGGGCTCTCTGTCTTAATCTGTCCATTTTAAATTGATGGACATTTATTTTTACAGGCTGAGCTGAGAGATTGGGTATGAAGTCCTGGTTTTAGGTTAAAATGAAAGAAGCCCGGATTAGTCAGCAGCAAAGCTATTTGCATTCTGTGCTGCTCTTAGCAGGGAGCAAGGCAAATGTTCTTCTTTCCCATTACTTAAACACCAGATTGCAGTGGCCGGATTTTAAGCATTCTTTGCTATATTTGCATCACGAGCAATGTCACCGAAACCATCGTTAATCATCCCTGCCAGCGCCAGGCTTCGCAGGTAATTGGAGCACGCTAAGTTCAGCACCTCTCTGAGCTGCTTTAAATCCCTTTTGTGTGGAAATAGCAGGGTGAAGGTAAGTGACACTGGGGCTGTCCCTGTGTGCAGGGGTGCCCGCAGTGCAGGGGAGGTTCAGGGTGCAGCACAGGCTGCTCTTGCCTGTCTCTATCACCAGCTGTAGGTGCTGGTGGTGCTTGGAGCACACTGTGGAGCTCCACATCTTGCCCACGGCTGGTGGGAAGTGTGGGAGCAGCTCGAGGCTCTGCAGAGCCGCCTCGTTTGAAAAGAAGCCCCCGCTGGTGCCATCTGTGCCTGGGAGCCCGGGATCAGCCTGGGGTTTCTCTGAACACGCAGATTGGTGGCTTTTCTGGAAGGAGGTCAGTATAGGTATGCTAGAGTCATCCAGGCTTAGCCAAATATTTGTCCAAAAGCATGAGGAAAATGTTCAGACAAGGGACTTGCCACTCTGTTTTTTATCTTTTTTATCTCCTTCTCTGCTATAGCAAAAATGGGAAACACTTTTTTTACGGAGAGAGGGGGACAAGATGGGAACAAAGCAAGTCMTACCTGGGGCATGGACATTTCTCCAGCAGGAGCGCAGAGGTGCCTGACCCAGCCAGACAGAAGGGACATGCCCTCAGGTTATCCTCTGCCTTCTCCAAGAAAAACTTGAAGGAAAACTTCCATGTTTACCTGTGATGAAAATACCTCCAAAGCTGGGGTGTCAGCAGTGAGACACAACTTCACATACCAGCATCCTTAGCTTAATAGATGGCATCTCACCCATCACCTCTCAAGTGTGACTGCAGAATCCCACCAAAAAGGACAATAATTTTTTAAATGGATCGGTAACATGAGGCAGCTCTTTGCTGTGTGGGTGGCTGTGGTCACTGCAGGCAGCTCCTCCACATGCCGTCCTACAGCACTTACCTATGGAGAGGGGAGCCCTGCGCTGCTCCAGATGTTGGTGCAGATGTGCRGGCTCTGCCACCGCAGCCCAGGAAAGCAGCTGGTGCAGAGGATGCTGCCCCCTCTGCACAGGGGTCCTGCCGTGCTGGAGATGCTGACAGTGGAAGAAAAAACCTCCTTTTCTTTTTTCTTTGAAGTTTTGCATTACTGGTGAGGCAGGATCAGAGAACAGCCTTGGTAAAAAACATTTGGTAGAAGTCTCAAATCTCTTATTATGGTATTCAATTTATAATTACTAGGTATCACTAGCAAGTTAAAATAATATTTTTAAAGAATAATTTTTAGTTTTGTAGTGCATTTACCGCATATGAAGAAGTGGGTAAAGMAAAATTGGGTTTCTTACCCAATGTTATCTCAGATCTTCGAAAAAATATGCATTAATTAAATGTGCCATGCCTGGATATATATGTAAAAAGCTTTGAAAATAATTTCCATACTTAGATATACTTCTGTTCTGGAACTTTCTCTGCCTRGTGATCCTTAGACTTGGAAATGGCTATTTAACTGCATCTCTTTACCTTGTTTTGTTTTGTTTTTCAGTACAAAGTTGTGGGTTTTTTTTCCTGCATCTGTTGCAGTGGTTTCAGCCCTTAAAGCATATAAAACAGAACTGTCTATTGATCTCCAGTGTTGACTAGAATAAACTTTTAGGACTGCTCATCTTAAAAACAGATTTGTTTCTCCTTCAAAAAATATCTCCTGAAGGTTTATGGCATTATCTTTATAGTTGACTAAAGGAAAAACTGGGTTTTATGAGGCACAGCTTCTGAAGCCACTTTAATAGCAAAACATATGTTTAATAAACTACATAACACTGAAGGCAAGGAGAAAACCTTTGCAATAATTCCTTTGTAACCTGATTGACTGATACAATTCACAACTGGTGGAAGAACTTGAATAGAACCAAATCAGAACAGATGAATGTTGCATATCAAAAAGCAAAACATGAAAGGACATAGGGCTTTTTTTTTTTTGAAAAGAGAACTTCAAAGTTAGGGCTCCAGATGCTGAATTTACTGGCTGTGATTTGGGATGCAAGCGCAGGAATGTGTTTGCTGATTGAGCAAAGCTCTCGAGGAGAAAGCAGGGCAGCCTGGAGAGGAGGAGCAGGCACTGAGTGAGCGCTGGCCTTGGTTTTGCTGTGAGCTTAGCTCGCGGGTGCTGTGTGGATGAGGTCTGTGCTTGCCCGGTTACGAAGCTGTCGAGCRATCGCTCTGAAATGCCTTTTCCTCRCTTTCCATGACAGTCCGGAGAATGGAAAGTGATTGCAGTAGGAGTACTGGGGTGTGACGGCCTGAACATGAGCGAGGTGAGGCTTGGGCAGAGAAAGAGGCTTCACTGGAGAGCCTGGCACGAGGAAGGTGCCGTGCAGCACTGATGCTGCCGCGCGAAACCGGCCGTCGGGCCCTCCTCCATCTGCCCTGCTCGCCRTGCGTTTCCCTGTGGAGGAGCAGAGCCCTCGGGCACCTTCCTCCAGGGCTTGCAGAGTGACACAGGGACTTGCTCCTGCCACTGCTTCCCCTTGGCTGCGTCCTGGGGAGCCACAGGTGGAAAACCACAGCACTACCTGCTGCGGGAGCGGGAGCGATGGATGCAGCGGCGGCGAGGCGGATTGTGCGGCTAAAAGCCGGAGGAAAGAGAGCAGAGACCCCTTGGGATGGTGGACGCGGTGTGGAAGCATTCCTCGTGCTGTGAATTATGTTGTTCTGCCCTCAGCAGCTCAGCACGAGACGGTCTGTGCGCTGGGAGAGAGGAGTCATCCCTGGCGAGCTGGGGGCCGGGAAAAGCGCAGCTCAGCGCTTTGTGCGCGCTCTGAAAGGCAGCTTTTGTGCACAGGGAAACGGTGGATGGAAAGAGCTTGTCAAGGRCAGGAGAATCACAGAGCTAAACGGCAGCAGCGGCGCGCGCGGCCCTGCGCTCGGAGGCGGCACAGGCCACGGGGAGCCCGAGGAGGCCACGCAGAGGAGGCCGCTGCACTGCCCTACTGACCGGGGCTGAGCTCTGCTTATCTCAGGCCATGGGGGGCCTTGTGCTCGCCCCTTGCAGGCACCGCYCTGGGACCTCCTGGGCAAGGAGAGCAACGTGTTGCAAGACGCGTATGTACCATAGAGAGGTGCCTCCTTCCTCAGTTCCCCATCCTGCAGCAGAAGGGAACGAGATGGAAACACCCCCAGAGGAAGCCGCAGAGCGGGAACAGGCGACTGAATTAAAGTCTGCGGGCTGTCAGGTTTTGTGAGCRTGGCTGCTGCTTCCATCCGCAGGATGGTCAGAGAGATCGAGGGAGCTGGCGGCACACTTCCCTTTGAGCTCAGTTTCTATTTGTGTAGTTTTCAGTTATTTCATGCCAAATCAGTGGTTAATAGCACTCTGGTTATAAAGCAGACTGTTCTCTTTCTGGTGCAAAACCGAATCAATGGGGCGTGCACCTTCTTGATCTGGAAGAATTTGGTTTCACTCAGATCTAAACAGTCGTCCTGAATGGCTCAAAAATGTCATTTTAAGTTGTAGTCATGAAATAAGTTTAGAAAACCCCGAAATTCTATAACAAAAACTTTCTGAACTTTTTCTGGTTGACA